GCAGTCTCTGCCCAGCGCCGTACGTCCGGGTTTCCAAGTTTATACAGAAGAAACTTCGGTCTCTGGCATCGACACTCACACTGGATGGTCACGGTTCCCCCCAGGGCGACTCCCCCACTGGGGTGCATGGAGATGGAGGGTTTGGGGTAGCTGAGCTCTGCAGTGAGAAGGAGACAGGGCGTGAGACAGACCCTGGCACAGTCACTGTGCCCCGTCCTCGCCTATGGTCCCAGACACGGGGTCCCTGGGAGAAAATCCAGCCAGAGGAACCTCTCCGAGATCCCAGAGATTCCTGGGAGCTACGACCAACACTGCCTGAGGACCTAAGCCCAGAGCACCCTCTGTACCTGTCAAGAACATAAGAATGGCCATACTGGGTCACACTAAATGTCCATCCAGCCTAGTATCCTGTCTCCTGACAGTGGCCAATGCCAGGTGCCCCAGAGGGAGTGAACCTAACAGGCAATGATCAAGTGATCTCTCTCCTGCCATCCATCTTCACCCTCTGACAAACGGTATATCTTTTTTGAGATGAGGAGACCACATCTGTACGCAGTATTCAAGATGTGGGCATACCATGGATTTATGTAACGGCAATAAGATATTCTCCGTCTTATTCTCTATCCCTTTTTTAATGATTCCTAACATCCTGTTTGCTTTTTTGACTGCTGCTGCACACTGCGTGGACGTCTTCAGAGAACTATCCACGATGACTCCAAGATCTCTTTCCTGATTAGCTGTAGCTAAATTAGCCTCCATCATATTTTATGTATTGTTGGGGTTATTTTTTCCAATGTGCATTACTTTACATTTATCCACATTTAATTTCATTTGCCATTTTGTTGCCCAATCACTTAGTTTTGTGAGATATTTTGAATTCTTCACAGTCTGCTTTGGTCTTAACTATCTTGAGCAGTTTAGTATCAGCTGCAAACTTTGCCACCTAACTGTTTACCCCTTTCTCCAGATCATTTATGAATAAGTTGAATAGGATTGGTCCTAGGACTGACCCTTGGGGAACACCACTAGTTACCCCTCTCCATTCTGAGAATTTACCATTTATTCCTACCCTTTGTTCCCTGTCTTTTAACCAGTTCTCAATCCATGAAAGGATCTTCCCTCTTATCCCATGACAACTTAATTTATGTAAGAGCCTTTGGTGAGGGACCTTGTCAAAGGCTTTCTGGAAATCTAAGTACACTATGTCCACTGGATCCCCCTTGTCCACATGTTTGTTGACCCCTTCAAAGAACTCTAATAGATTAGTAAGAAATGATTTCCCTTTACAGAAACCATGTTGACTTTTGCCCAACTAATTTGCCCGGTACTGACGTGAGACTTACCGGTCTGTAATTGCCGGGATCACCTCTAGAGCCCTTTTAAAATATTGGTGTTACATTAGCTATCTTCCAGTCATTGGGTACAGAAGCTGATTTAAAGGACAGGTTACAAACCCTAGTTAATAGTTCTGCAATTTCACATTTGAGTTCTTTCAGAACTCTTGGGTGAATGCCATCTGGTCCCGGTGACTTGTTACTGTTAAGTTTATCAATTAATTCCAAAACCTCCTCTAGTGACACCGCAATCTGTGACAGTTCCTCAGATTTGTCACCTACAAAGGACAGCTCAGGTTTGGGAATCTCCCTAACATCCTCAGCCGTGAAGACTGAAGCAAAGAATTCGTTTAGTTTCTCTGCAATGACTTTATCTTCTTTAAGCGCTCCTTTTATATTTCGATCGTCCAGGGGCCCCACTGGTTGTTTAGCAGGCTTCCTGCTTCTGATGTACTTAAAAAACATTTTGTTATTATCTTCTGAGTTTTTGGCTAGCTGTTCTTCTATCCACTTAATAGTCCCCCTCCCCCAGCCTGGGAGCCAGGACGCCTGGGTTCTATCCCTGGCTCTGGGAAGGGAGTGGGGTCTAGTGGTTAGAGCTGGGGGGGCCTGGGAATCAGAGGTGCTGGGAGCTGCACAGGCAGAGTGAGAAAAAGCCCCCGGCCTAAAGCCAACCCTGACTCTAACCAGACACAAGGTGCAGGGAGGATGATTCATACAAGGGGAAATGGAGGCACAGGCAAGTAAGTGACACCCCCAGGACCCCTGAGGCAGGGATCCCCCCCGTGTCAGCCCTGAATCTACAGCGGCTGGGAAACCTCCCCGCCATGACTCCATCTGCACTACCGGGGACCCTCACCTGCAACATCGATCCGCACGTAATCACTGGGATCTGACCAGTTGGGCGGCTCCGGTCTGGAGCGAGATCGGCAGCTGTAGAACCCTCCGTCTCCGCGTCTGGCACTGGGGATGATGAATTCACCCCCGTCCCCAGCATCCAGCTCCCCGATTTGGATTTCATCTTTATAAAGAAATAACCTCCTGGCCTCGCACCGACACTGACAGCGGAGGGTGACGGTTCTCCCCAGGGCGATCACCCCGCTGGGGCTGACGGAGATGGAGGGTCCGGGCGAAGGGAGCTCTGCGTTCACACACAAACAGGAGTGATATGGGCTGGCTCAGAACCCCAGGGATCGCAGGACGGGAGGATCATCCCAGTGAGACCCTCAGTGCAGATACAGCCCCTGCCTGGCCCCCCAGAAACTGGAACTGCAATCATTAGTGACTAGTATTAATTACCAGGAGCCCCTGTCCTGGGCCCCGTGTGCTCGGAGCTGTACGGACACAGGACACAGGGACGGTCCCTGCCCCACTCAGGTGCCATTCACACCTGGAGTCACTGCAGAGCAGGTCTGGGTGAGGCTGTTCCTATGTCGGAGGAGGACGCCCCTGTGTCTATAGAGCTACAGGAGAGCTCGTCTGCCAAACGTGTCTGTATCAGACCAGGGGGTGCGAATTCCGACAGCCCAGACTCGCTCTGAGATCACCAGTGGGGGTTGGAAATCACACGGGATTCATCATTTTGGGTCCAGTTTTCATGTAGACAAGGTCTTAGTCCATCTTTCTATCCCTCAACAGATGCGCTCCCATCTGTCCACCACCCTACGTTCCCACAGACCCACATTCCCACGGACCGGTGGCCGTAGGTCCCCACGGATCTATTCATCATCCTCTATGTAGAAGAATTGACCCCATCAGTTCTGTCTGCAGGGACCATCCCCCTCCAAACAGCCTGAACGGCCCCAGGGGCATCTGAGCCGGGATCCCTGTTCCCTGGGGGGTGAATTGTTCCATTTCTCCCGCTCACCTTCTCTCTCTGGCTCCGTCGTGGGGGGATCTGGCTGCTGGGGCCCAGCTGGGTCGGTTCCCTCTGTGGGATTAAAGTGCGCGGCGGCTGGGATGGGGGAGGGGACGGAACCAGCACCCAGGCCTGGGGCGGGAAGGAGCTGAAACGGTGACTCAGCGATTGGGCTGCTCGCCCCATGATCCGGCATTTGTCTGTCTGAGGGATTGGAGCAAATGCAGTTGTATCTTAGACCACTGGCCCCTTCCCGCCCCAGCATCTCTGAACTTAGAACAGAAACACTGCCCCAGGAACCTATCCTTGCAACAAAGCCCAATGCCAACTCTGTCCACATATCTATTCAATGACACCATTATAGGACCTAATCACATCAGCCACACCATCAGGGGCTCATTCACCTGCACATCTACCAATGTGATATATGCCATCATGTGCCAGCAATGCCCCTCTGCCATGTACATTGGCCAAACTGGACAGTCTCTACGCAAAAGAATAAATGGACACAAATCTGACATCAGGAATCATAACATTCAAAAACCAGTAGGAGAACACTTCAACCTCTCTGGCCATTCAGTAACAGATTTAAAGGTGGCAATTTTGCAACAGAAAAGCTTCAAAAACAGACTCCAATGAGAAACTGCTGAACTTGAATTGATATGCAAACTAGATACTATCAATTTAGGCTTAAATAGAGACTGGGAATGGCTGAGCCATTACACACATTGAATCTATTTCCCCATGTTAAGTAGTCTCACAGCTTCTTGTCAAACTGTCTTAAATGGGCTATCTTGATTATCACTACAAACGTTTTTTTTCTCCTGCTGACAACAGTTCATCTTAATTAATTAGCCTCTTAGAGTTGGTTGGGCAACTCCCACCTTTTCATGTTCTCTGTATGTATATATCTCTTCACTATATGTTCCATTCTATGCATCCGATGAAGTGGGCTGTAGCCCACGAAAGTTTATGCTCAAATAAATTTCTTAGTCTCTAAGGTGCCACAAATACTCCTGTTCTTTTTGCGGATACAGACTAACACGGCTGCTACTCTGAAACCAGTTTATTTTTGTTTCTTAAGTAACTGACTCTGATCTCTACGCTAGCTAGTTATAATCACTTCAACTCCATCTCTCTGGAGTTAATAAATCTGTTTTCTATTTGACCTCAAACTGTGTGTTTTGGTTGAAGTACGTGGGAAATCTCAGCTCAGGTTGCAAAGGCTGCTGTGTGTCTCCCCATCGAGAGAGGGGCGGACTGGGTAATGAACTGACACTGGCTAGGCTTCTGACCAGTGCAGGATGGTACCAGGCTGGGGATCTGGGAGGGACTTGGCTGGCCTGGCGCGTCCCTAGTAATGGTCTGTGAGAGGCTGGGAGATCATTCGTGTCACTCCAGTGGGAGTGTTCCTGGCTGTGGATGGCTGGGTAAGTGCAGGACCTGCCAGAATTTGTAGCTTGACATCAGCATCACAGTTGCGAGGGAAACCCCAGGTTGGTGGGACAGAGGGTCCAGCGGTTCCATAGACCCAGCCCGGGAACCCTGTCACAGAGCGGAGATACTGAGCCGGGCCCCTCACCTGCTACCATCAGCTCCACGGGGTCGCTGGGATGCGACCAGACGGGCGGGTCCGATTTGATGCCATATTGGCAGCTGTAGCTCCCTGTGTCTCTCCGGCTCACGTTGCGGATGGGAAACTCAGCCACGTTCCCAGCAGTCACTGCCCAGCGCCGTACGTCCGGGTTTCCAAGTTTATACATGAGGAACGTCGCTTTCTGACATCGACACTTACACCGAATGGTCACGGTTCCCACCAGGGCGACTCCCCCACGGGGGCGCAGGGAGATGGAGGGTTTGGGGGAGCTGAGCTCTGCAGTGAGAAGGAGACAGGCTGTGAGACAGACCCCAGCACAGTCACTGCGCCCCGTCCTCCCCGCATGGTCCCAGACACGGGGCCCCTGGGAGAAAATCAGCCAGAGGAACCTCTCTGAGACCCCAGAGATTCCTGGGGGCTACGACCAACACTGCCTGAGGACCTAAATCCAGAGCACCCTCTGTACCTGTCTATCCACTTAATGGTCCCCCCCAGCCTGGGACGCCTGGGTTCTATCCCTGGCTCTGGGAAGGGAGTGGGGTCTAGTGGTTAGAGCTGGGGGGGGCTGGGAATCAGAGGTGCTGGGAGCCCCCACCCTAAAGCCAGCCCTGACTCTCTAACCAGACACAAGGTGCAGGGAGGATGATTCATACAAGGGGAAATGGAGGCACAGGCAAGTAAGTGACACCCCCAGGACTCCCAGGGCAGGGACCCCCCCCCCCCCCTGCCCCCCCCCACCCCACAGGGGCTGGGAAACCCCCCCCCCCCCCGTGACTCTGTCCCCGCTCCCCGGGCCCCTCACCTGCCACAATGATCCGCAGGTAATCACGGGGATCCGACCAGTTGGGCGGTTCCAATCTGGAGCGAGATCGGCAACTGTAGAACCCTCCGTCTCCGCGTCTGGCACTGGGGATGGTGAATTCACCCCCGTCCCCAGCATCCAGCTCCCAGAATTGGATTCCATCTTTATACAGAAATAATCTCCTGGCCCCGCACCGACACTGACAGCGGAGGGTGACGGTTCCCCCCAGGGCGATCACCCCGCTGGGGCTGACGGAGATGGAGGGTCCGGGCGCAGGGAGCTCTGCGTTCACACACAAACAGGAGTGAGATGGGGAGACACAAACCCCTCCCCTGTGTCTGTAACCTGCCCTTAGCGCCCAGCCCCAGGGACAGTGCCAGGGTAACAGACACCTCACTGCAACTACAGGGAACCTGTGAGCCGGGTTCTGATCTCAGCCCCTCCAGGGTCAATCTGGAGTCACCCCTGACTGCACTGGGGGCAGGGCTGGGTTCTGATCTCAGTCTCCTGGGGTCAATCCGGAGTCACCCCCGGCTGAGTTTTGGGGGAAAGTTCAGGACTCAGCTGCTCTTTTCCCCTCCACCTCCCCCCCGTCCCATCCTTAACACTTAGCATTGAGCAGCACAGATACTCACCTCCCGACACCTCGCTCCGCCCAGCCAGCCAGCAGCCTGGGGAGGAGACGGCTTGTTAGGGACCAGATCCCAGAGCGACTGGATCCTACACTCTGGTCTCAGATCCCCACGATGGGCACACGCCCTGGTCTCAGATCCCCC